ATTATCTTACCTAGTGATAAGTGACTTTCAGCGTTCACTTCAAGATAATTTATAAACAGATTAAAGACAAGTGTCAAGACTGGAAGCTCGTTTGAGCAGGGTCCTGTTCAACCTATCGTTCCTGTAAGTTTTCTTGTAATTGTCCTATTTATTGTTAAATCCCCACTCTCATAATATTGAAAAGCACTACGGGATCTGTTGGCGCTTTATAAATTATAATAATAATGTTGAGGCACTCCACTTACAGTTTTTGTCCAGTTTGCAAATCTACTCTCTGCATTCCATCTCTAAGCCAGTGTTCTATCCAAGAACACCATTTTCACCTAAACCAACTGATTTCAGTTTTAATAGTAAGCTCCAAGTAAAAGTCCAAGTAGTTAATTCACTAGAACACCCTGATCTGCATTTCTACTTATAATAATTTCTACATAATGTGCAATTAAGTTTGTTTGGCATGACTTTTCTTTCATAAAAACATGTTAATTTCTAGTAATATGATATTGTTCAAAATAATTTCTTTTTAAAAACACAATTTTTCCCTGTTGCTGACCATGGGTAACCCGGCCAGTTAAATCCGCTAATTCCTTTCATCAGCCACTCTGCATCCACTTAGTGACTGGACAAGATACTGCTCTAGGAGTACAACTCCATTTTATTGTACAACACACGGCTTTTATGCATAACCCCTTGCAAGGGGTCTTCTACACAAATAGGGCTTTCCATCCCTGGAGCCTCTGTACCTGGGAGCCAAGGCACGGGACAAGGGGCCTAGTCTCTTAGTCTCCCAGGTACAGAAAGCCCGCCACACAGGTCTTCATCCCAGGACCCACTGTGCCTAGGAGACAAGGCGCAAGAAAAAGGGACCTAGTCTCTTGGTCTCAAATGCACAGAAAGCCTGCAAAAATAGCCAGAGCCCCAAAAGTGTCCTCACCAACTTCAGGAACCCCACACAAGTACATTTCCCTGACCGGTCTCCGTTCATGAGGTTTCTGTGCAAGAACCATGCAAGGGAAGCTTCTCCCTTTCGGGATACGAATGGTTTGCGTTCGTCTATACGAAATGGCGGCCACCTAGGAGAGCACTCATTAATTACTTCCCTTGCCGTTTTGCACTTATGTGTTTGGTGTGAACGTTCTAATAGGGCACCGGGGTGGTCCCCGTTCGAGTGACGAATGGGTTCCGTTTGTATAAATTCTCCCGAACAGGGAAACGGCACAATACACGTAATACAAGTGGAAAACACACAAATAAGCGGTAGTTCTGTCACACAGCTCCCCCTTAACCACAAGCCAGCATAAACAGTAGATCCTAACGGATCAGCTTGGGGATGTCTGGAGGTGTACTCACAGATCACTTCTCCAGTTTTGTCTGTCATGACAACCCGTCGGCATTCCCGTTTTGCTTTCCGGGTCTGTAATAAATCGTGAAGTCAAATGGTTGTAGTGCCAGGCTCCAACGTAACAGCCTGGCATTGTCTCCAGCGAACCGGTTAAGCCATGCCAACGGGTTGTGATCTGTGAGTAAAGTGAATTCTTGTCCGTAAATATAGGGCTGCAGCTTTTTGAGTGCCCACACCAACGCAAGACACATCTTCTCGATGGTGGCATACCTCAACTCCCGGGGTAGTAGTTTTCTGCTGAGGTAAGCTACTGGATGTTCTCCGCCATCGTCCCCTACCTGGCTCGGCACTAAAGCATCTAAACAAAGAAGCATCTGTGTGGATGAGAAAACGTTTATTCGGATTAGGAGCATCCAGGACAGGCATTTATCAGGGCGTTCTTGAGGGCTTGGACCTCCTGCTCACCCTCTGGGGTCCAGTTTACCTTCCTGGGCAGGTTCTTTTTGGTCAGGTCGGTGAGGGGCTTAGCTAGGGCACTGTAGTTGGGGACAAATTTCCGATAGTAGCCAGCAGTCCCTACGAGAGCCATCACTTGGGGCGGAGCCAGTGAGCTACTGCCTCAACCTTGGCTGGCTCAGGCTTCTGCTTCCCACACTCTACCCGGTGTCCCAGGTACTGCACTTCTGCCACCCCTATATGGCATTTGCTAGGTTTTAACGTTAACCCTGCCTCCCTGATTCTGTCTAGTACCGATCACACATGTACCAGGTGTTCCTCCCAATTGTCGCTGTATATGTCGTCCAGATATGCGCACTCATAATCCTGGAGGCCATCCAACAGTTGGTCCACCAGCCTTTGGAAAGTGGCTGGGGCATCCTTCATTCCAAATGGCATTACCTTGAAGTGGTACAGGCCAAATGGAGTGACGAATGCCGCTAGAGAGATCTGCCAGTACCCCTTACACAAATCTATAGTGGTCTAATAGCTCTTCTATACGGGGCATGGGGTAAGCATCCAAGACAGTCTTGTCATTGAGCCTCCTGTAGTCTACACAGAACCAGGGGGCTCCATCTCATTTCAGGACAAGCACTACGTGGGAGGCCCACGGACTCTTGGACGGTTCTATTACCCCTAGTTGGAGCATCTCCTGCCTCGGTCTCCCGAACCACCTCTGGTATTCTGTACAGGGTTTGCCGTATTCTGTACAGAGGTGGTTGGTCGGGGGTCTCTACTCTGTTGGTGGCTAGTGGGGTAAACCCTGGCAGATTAGAGAGCGTCTCTCACTTTGCAGACAGCATCTGCTGCGCTTGCCTGTGTTCTTTCTCGGTCAGCCGGTCCCCTAAGTGGACCTCCTCTATGGACCCTGCCTGCACCCTATCTTCTAGTAGATCAGGCAGGGGAAGATTGTCAAAATCTTCAGAGGCAGGCGCACATATAGCGGCTACGTCCTCCGTCCGCTCGTGGTAGGGCTTCAGCATGTTAACATGTAACATGCGTCTAACTCCGGTACCCGAGCAAGGACCGACAACGTAGGTGGTATCACATTTCCGTTCCGTCCGCTATGGCCCTGCCAAGCAACCTGTCCTACCGGACAGGTTTCAAAACCAGTACCTTTTAATAGACTTGAAAGCTACGGCTCCTGGCTCCCTGGTCATACCAAGTGCGCTGGTGCTCCTGTGCCAACCAGAGGTTCCCACGCACCAGGTGTGTGAGTTCCTCCAGTCGGTCCCGCAGCTTCAGCACATATGGGACGATGGGGGTCCCTTCCTGCTCCCCATTTCCCTCCCAGTGCTCTTGGACAAGGTCTAGAGGCACCCTAACCCTCTGTCCAAATTGCAAGTCTAACGGAGAAAATCCTGTAGACTCTTGGAGCACCTCCCGATATGTGAACAGGAGATGAGGCAGGAATCTTTCCCAATCCTTGCGGGTTGCTGCAAAGGTATGGAGCATCTGCTTTATCGTGCCATTGAAGTGCTAGCACAGGCCATTGGTCGAGGGATGGTAGGTTCTGCTTCGTTCTCCCGAACCACCTCTGGTATTCTGTACAGGGTTTGCCGTATTCTGTACAGTGGTGGTTGGTCGGGGGTCTCTGCTCAGGATTGGTTTAATGTCGCATAACTTCCACTGTTGGTGAGTCTTCTCTGCAGTAAACTGGGTGCTTTGATCTGAGACGATCCCCCGGAGAAAACTCATCCCGGAGAACATTCGCATCAGGGCCTCGGCTACATTCTCGGCCTAAATATTGTTCAGGGCGACTGCCTCTGGGTACAGAGTAGCATAGTCCACATTGGTCAGAATATATTTCTTCCCAGAGGGGCTAGGCTTAGTCAGGGGACCTAGAATATCGATGGTTACTCTGCCGAAGGGGTTTTTAATATTGGGGAGGGGATGGAGCTTGGCCTTGTGCCGGTCACCCCGCTTCCCCACTTTCTAACAGACATCACAAGACCGTCAGTACTGCCGCAGGTCCTTGGAGATGCCAGGCCAGAAGAAGCTTTGGGTGAGTCGATGTTATGTATGACTCACTCCCAAATGCCCTGCAAGGGGAATATCGTGAGCTATCTTCAGTAGTTTGTCGATATTTCCTGAGTACCACCAGCTGATTGGTGATAGTAGGAACAGTCCCTGAACCTACCCCCTCCGCTATGCTATATAGCAGTCTCCTCTCCCAGATAAACTTCCAGCCCTGTCTGACTAGTGGTCACCCTATCTCTATACTTCTGGAGGGTAAAATCGGAGACTACTTCTTTCCCAAACTCTGCAAGGGGACCGGGACAAGGAAGGTTACTGGTGCCTACCTGAAGCTCTGTGAGCCGTCCTGGGTGGTGCGGGCTTGTTGTCAGGTCATCCCCGGGTATGCCTCCTCGAGGCCGTCGATGGGCACATACGTGGAGGTTAGCTGGCCCAGGTTGTTGCCCGACTTCCACTATCTTGTTTCCGGCGCCCCAGTTGAGATGGAGCCTGGCAGTGGGTTCCCCTGGTCTTTTCCATCTCCGTGACAAGCTGGTGTTGCTCCAGTGTCAGGGTGGCTCCAGTGTCTCGCGGACCCGTTTAACTGGACTGGCTGGCTGTGATGATGTGGATTGTCTGCTGTGGCTTGGACGGGATCTGCCTCATGCAGAAAGGTCCAGGCTTCCTCGTTGTGGTTAGAGCGTACAAGGGGGAAGCTTGGTCTCTCTCCTGAGCGCAAACCATCCTCTGATGACCATACCTAAAACATTGATGGCACTTGATAGCTGCCCGGTTCGGTGCCCTCTGGGTTGATATGGGAGGCGGATGTTGAAGGGAACGGTGGTGTAGGACGCATCGGGGGTCGGTAGTTGGATAAGGGAGCGGGACGGTGGGTTAGGCGGGCATCCACATACTCATCTGCTCACTAGGCTGCCTCCGTCAGGGTTGCCGGTCTTTCACCCTTTCTTGCACCTCTGTGGACAAGCCATTATAAAACTGCTCCAGCAGGAACAGTTGGGACTTAACATGTTGGGAGTGGATCCAGTTTTGGTCTGCCCTTGTTAAACGACTAGCCCACTCCGCATGGGAATTCTTCTCCCCTTTCTTGGATTCCATAAACTTCCTGCGGTATGCCTCTCGGGTCAAGCCATACATAACCCACAGGACTTGCTTCACAAAGGCATAATTCTGCAACTCGTCCTCTGGCACAGCTCGGTAGGCGTCCGCACCATTAGTTAGCTTCCCTGCCAAAAGGGAGACACAATCCTATGGGGCAATGCTATGCAGTAAGGAGAGGCGCTCAAAATCTTGCAAAATGTCATCAGTTTGCCCTCCTCTGATTCTGCAAAATCATTTGGAAATTTGGGCTTTTGTTCGGTAGCTGCCGAACCCCTTGGGAACCCTTCCCCAGCCCGACATTCGTGGGGTTGGGATCGGTTTACCCAATCTCTCTGAGCAAGGAGATATGCTTGTACCTCCGAGATGGTTCTGGCCAAGATCCCCTCTGGGAGGTTTCCTCCATAGTATGCCAGACGGAGGCTCATCTCTTTTTGGAAGGCATTCTCTTCGACCTCCGGTACCGTAGGGTCACCGCTCAGTCGATAGCTCTCCATGAGTGCGGCAATTAGAGCAGCCTTTGACCGGTTGCGGGCAAACAGTCCTCTAGCCTCCAGCAACTCTTTCAGCATTTGCCTCTTTAATGCAGCGTAATTCATTAATCCATTTGCCGGTTCGTTCAGTTAACAAATGCTGGTTCTGTTTGGCTGGGAAGTCCAAATTCCACCGCTTCCAACCAATTGTAGCGCCCCACGGGTAACCTGGCCGGTTATCTCGATTTCCTTCCCTCAGCCACTCTGGAACCACTTACAGTAGATAAGGCATCCATTTCTCTCCCCTCCCCCAGTAACTGGACGAGACACCGGTCTAGGAGTACAACTCAATTTTATTGTGCAACACAAGGCTTTGTGTAGAAGACCCCTTGCAAGGGGTTATGCATAAAACAGGGGGTTCCATCCCAGAAGCCTCTGTACCTGGGAGCCAAGGTGCGGGAAAAGGTCTCTTTGTATCCCAGGTACAGAAAGTCCGCCACACATGCAAGGGGTTTCCCACAGCAAACGACTCTGTGCCTGGGAGCCAAGGCGCGTGAAAAAGGGACCTTGTCTCGTGGTCTCCCAGGCACAGAAAGCCCGCCAAAATAGCCAGTGCCCCAAAAGTGTCCCCGCCAACTTCAGGAACCCCTACACAAGTACATTTCCCGACTGGTCTCCGTTCGTGACGTTTCTGTGTGAAAACCATGCAAGGGAAGCTTCTCCCTTTCGGGATACGAATAGAAACATAGAATGTGACGGCAAACATGGAATTTGGCCCATCTAGTCTTCCCAATATTTCAAAATTACTTTTAATTAGTCTTATCTTATAGTTAGAATTTCCTTATGCCTATCCCAAGCATGCTTAAACTCCTTTACTGTGTTAACCTCTACCACTTCAGCTGGAAGGCTATTCTATGCATCCAGTACCCTCTCAGTTAAGTAATACTTCCTGATATTATTTTTAAACCTTTGTCCCTCTAATTTAAGACTCTTGTTGTGGTTTTTCTTCTTTTAAATATGGTCTCCTCCTTTACGGTGTTGATTCCCTTTATGTATTTAAGTGTTTCTATCCCCCCTGTCTCATCTTTCCTCCAAGCTATACATGTTAAGATCCTGGTAAAGTTTTATCCTGCAATCCATGAACCAGTTTAGTAGCCCTTTTCTGAACTCTCTCTAAAGTATTTTGAAGATATGGTCTCCAGTACTGCATACAATACTCCAAGTGAGGTCTCACCAGTGTTCTGTACAATGACATGAGCACTTCCCTCTTTCTACTGCAGCCCAATACCTCTTCCTATACAACCAAGCATTCTGCTAGCATTGCCTGCTGCTCTATTACATTGTCTGCCTACCTTTAAGTCATCTGAAATAATTACTCCTAAATCCCTTTCCTCAGATGTTGAGGTTAGGACTCTATCAAATATTCTATGCTCTGCTCTTGGGTTTTTACATCCAAGATGCATTATCTTGCACTTATCCACATTAAATGTCAGTTGCCACAACTCTGACCATTTTTCTAGTTTACCTAAATCATTTGACATTTATCCCTCCTGTAACATCAACCCTGTTACATATCTTAGTATCATCAGCAAAAAGACATACCTTACCATCAGGACCTTCTGCAATATCACTAATAAAAATATTAGAGAATGGGTCCAAGTACAGATCGCTGAGGTACCCCACTGGTGACAAGCCCAAGCTTTGAATTTACTCCATTGACTACAACACTCTGTTGCCTGTCACTCAGCCACTGCCTTACTCATTCAACAATATTGGAATCCAAACTTAGATTGCAGTTTATTGATAAGCCTTCTATGTGCAACAGTGTCAAAAGCCTGACTGAAATCTAGGTAAGCAATGTCTACTGCACCACCCTGATCTATTATTTTAGTTACCCAATCAAAAAAAAATCAATACGATTAGTTTGGCATGATCTCCATGAAGTAAACCCATGTTGTCTCTGATCTTGAAATCCATGTGTTTTTAGATGTTCAACAGTCCTATCAATGCTCCCCCTGGTTGGTGTTCGTCTATACAAAATGGGGGAGCACTCATTAATTACTTCCCTTGCAGATTCACACTTATGTTATTGGTGTGAATGTTCTAATGGGGCAGCGGGGTGGTCCCCGTTCGGGAGATGAATGGGTTCTGTTTGTGTGAATGGGTTAACAGGGCCCAATACACGTAATACAAGGGGAAACCCACAATACAAGTGGGAAACACACAAATATGCAGTAGGTCTGCTACCAGCCCCCCTACACACCTTAAATATTGTAAAACTCCCCTTATTTCCAACACTGCACGTGTGCCGGCATTTGCGCCACCCTCGATCCCTCTCCTTGGCGGTCATCTTCAGAACTGATTATCTCAGGCAATCCAATGCTTTTCTTGGGAGATGTCAACCAAGGAGGGAGAGTGTTATTAGGGGTGAGGGAAGAAGCTAAACACAACCTTGGCCAATCAGCAGTGTAATGGACCGTTTTGCTCACCAGAGGTTAAAAACCGTTTAGGCGATATTCCCCTTTCCAGATACACCGACAGCTACTGTAAGCACCAATCTCCTGAACTGGAAACACATGAACACTGGAAATATCCAAACAGGAAAACCATACGAAAGGGTTACACTCCTGGCAGTCAGCATACAATCCAATTCCCCCAATAACGAGATGACACTTCGTTTGAGGGTCAAGCAGAATCTGTTTTACTGGCACCAAAAGAACCTTCTTTTATGCAGGTTTCCCTTAGATAGGACCACCCACAGGGTTTTACAAAACAACCAATTATACACGTATATTACAGAAACACGCCCAGCAATTACATACAAAAATCCTCCCCTCTGCCTGTGATCTAATTATGGTACACAATGGTTTAACATAATTAAACACAGGCAGTAAAAATACAGTTTTTATCCATACACTGTAACTTTAAAACTACACATCCAATCTTCATAACAATTACATATTTAGAATCAGCAACCTTCAAATATATACATAACCAAAAATCAGCCAAATCCATCCAGGGGTTAAAAAGTTAGCTGGAGGTCCCTTTATGATCGACCGCAAGCACATTTAGGTAGGGCTCAGCGGTGTTTGCGGAAATGTGTAGCCGATTTTAGTTAGATGAATTTGGCTACACATACCGCTGACCTCGTGCGAATGATCAAAGATGGCCGCCCCGCCACGTGTTCGGCAAACGAACAAAGGTCACCCAGCATTGTCAATTAAGCTGCGGTTAACCGGAGCTTCTGAGAGGTAAATTGCCGACACCCTCCCAATACAGGTGGTCCACTTGTGTGGTACTTGGTTCAGTAAGCCTCATTTACTGAACCAAGTGGGAAATAGCTAGGTACAAAGGGTTTTAACCAGGTCTGGGGACACAGGGGACACCGTCTTGAAGGGGCAATGCCCCAATTTTCCCTATGCCCCAAAAAGATGCTTAAAGGGCCAGCACCAGTCCCATAAAATGTACATAAGCCCCAATATGCCCACAGACTGTCTTAAAGGGCCATACACACCCAATAAAAGTCCATAAGTTTTCAGTCTCCCAGGGGCCATAGTCTAAAGGCAGCAGGTGAGCAACCAGGCTTATCCAGTGCACAGTGGCGAGGTTGGTTCCGCCACAAGCAGGTCCTCACAGAGATGAATTAAATCAATGCATTTCTGTGTGGAATGTTGAACGTCTGTCCAGCACTGCCTCAGGAAGCACCTCTAGTGGTTGTCTGAGGAGAGCAGGAGATGCACTTCTTCCTACACATAATGCTTTACATTTTCTGTTCTGAGAAATATACATGTCTATTGACTTTGCCATGTTGCTTTGATTGAAACTGAGCGGAAGAGGGGGTGAACTTACATGAAGGGATCCAAAAAAGGGAAATTGAGTGACAACTTATCTGTGTTTATAATCATTGCCCAATTTGTCACGAATGCACTCTTTCAAGAGTATACGTGACCTAGTTGTGGTGGTGAAAGGGTTAAAGTAAACTATTTGTCTGCACTAGACTGGAAATAATGATAAAATCCCACTTAACACCACCCACACTTAATCATAATAATATAAATATTACTATTTTAACGCTGCCACCACCAACCTATTTATAAATGGGGTGCCTTGGTCCTCCAGGTAACTTAATAATAAAAACAAGTGCCTGCAGGAGGCCTGTCTGAGCTCTCAGGCAGTCCCCCTAATGCCTGCATAAAAGTTTTACAAAGTTTGTGTGTATGTGTATATATATATATATGTGTTCAAGTAGATATTGTAGCCGTATTAGTCCAGTGATGTAGATGTAAAAAAACAGATAACGTTCGTATCTTGTAATACCTTTTTTTATTGGACTAACAGAATATTTTTATCAATTCTTTATTTTTGCATTGACAGACATTTGAGATGATAAGTGTTGGCTTACGCAGAAGCCCATTCTTCGATTGTGCTTTAGTCATGTTACAGAAAAGAAATCTGGGTTGTTGGTGTACATAATATAAATTTTAGACATATTCCATGTGGGTTGCGCAGAGGCCGCCGTCGCTTAATTTTCGTTTCTCCTGTCAAGGGTTTTTTATTTTTTTGTTGTATGCATAAACACATGTACAAAAGAAGAAAAAAAGAACACGATAAAATAGGAGTTAAATCTTAGAACTGCACGAGTGAGTAGTTGTCTGTGAGTGGGTGCTCATTTGTCTTATGGTTTTTCGTCATATTGTTCCCAAAGGGCCCATACCTTTTGAAATGTGGTGGTGGTGTTGCGGACGTTTGCTGTCATCTTGTCCATTAAGTAATTATCTCTGATTTTGGAAATTACTAGAGATAGTGGGGGTGTCTCAGGTTTTATCCAGTATTGTGCCAATGCTCTGCGAGCTGCTAGATTGAGCATATTCAGAAGTTTTTGGTCGTGTTTGTCTAGTCCATTTGTCGGTCGTGATAGAAGGCATGCCCAAGGGTCCAGTGTTATTTGTCGGTGTAGGATTTTAGTGTTCATGTCCACTATTTTTCCCCAAAACTCTTTTACTTTGGTGCATTGCCACCACATGTGGATGTATGTGCCTTTTTCTCCACATAGTCGCCAACAGGTGTCTGTGGGGCAGAGTTGCATGTGGTATTGCTTGACTGGGGTTGTATACCACCGGAGCATTGTTTTATATGTTTGTTCCTGTAGGGTCGTGCATATAGACACTTTTGTGTTCGCCTCCCATATATCTTGCCACTCTGTCCCCTCTAACGTTTCACCCAGATCTGCTTTCCCATTTGTCTGTGTATGTCTGTGGTCCCCACGTTCCTGATTCTAGGCATATGTGGTTGTATAGCAGTGAGATTAGTTTCGCTGGCATTTTTTCTTTTAGGCAGATTTGCTCAAAGAAAGTAAGAGGTTTGGCATTTGCCATTTTGACCTCCTTGGTTTGTGCAAAATCTCGCAATTTTATATATCGGAAGAAGTCTCGGGTTTGTAATGGGGCTAGGGTTTGTAAGTGTTTGTATGTTACTAGTTGGTTGTCTATATATAGGTGAATATAGCGTTGTAGGTTTGTGGCTTCGATGCCTTTAAAGTCTCTTGCCCTTAGGCCTGGTGGGAATGCTCTGTTACGTAGTACTGGGGTCATTGGGGACGGGAGGTTTGTGAGTTTGAATTTCTGTGCGATTTGGTCCCATAAGCTAATGGAGTTTAGGATGGCCGGGCAGTCGGTCCGTAAGATTGTTCTATGTTGTCTCGGTGTCCATATGAGGAATTGCGGGAGGTCTGCGCCTGTCATGAGGGATTCTATGTCAACCCATCGGCGTTGATTTTTGGGGCAGTGCCAGTGGGCTATTTGGGCGACTTGGGCTGCGATATAGTAATGGTGGAGGTGGGGCATAGTCCCATTGGGCTAGGAATGGGGGTCTAGGGTAACATGTGTCGTTCTGAAGTAGATTATAGAATTTTGAGATGTGTTTCGACTTGAGGCCTACGCTTTCGCACAGGTTTTCAAATGTGGATAAGTCTCTTGTTGCACCGCGGAGGAGTGGTGTGGTTGATTGGAAGTGTGTCAGCTGATTGACGTTGAAGCGTAGTAAAGGTGTGGCTAACGTGTCGGGTATGGTCTCCCCTGGTGTTTTAATCGCAGCGCCCTCAGGATATCTTCCTTTATGGAGTAGTAATGGAGTCTGCAGATCACGTCCCTTGGTGCTGCGGAAGGTGCGCATCTCGGTTTTAGGGCTCTATGAGCTCTATCCAGCAGGATTTGGGTGTCTGGATGCCTATTTAGGAGTAGATTGAATAATTCGCTTAGGGATGCTCCTATATCTTCTTGATCCTGTTCTAGTATGCCTTTAATCCTGAGATTGTTGCGGCGTCCACGATTGTCCACATCATCTAGTGAGCGGTAGAATGTTGAGATGGTGGATGTATGCGTGTTCATAGCAGCTTGAAGTTGCTGCACTGAGCAGGTAGCGATCATCTTCCAGTGAGGTGACTCTGTCTCCCATCTTGCGGACATCTGTCCCAATAGTGTGTAGGCGTGCCTTGAATGAGGCTTCCATTTTGCCTAGCAAGTTTGCTATGTCGTCTTTAGTGGGTAGAATCCTTATAAGCTCCATGTCCTCTGGGTTTGTGGACCTCATGGAACCTTCTGGGCTCGAGAGTGCTGAGCCATCCTGAGAGGATTCAGGCGCCATGTGCAGGGCCGCGGCTTCCTGCTGGGGTTCCGTGTGATCATGGTAGAATTTGGTAAGTGCGCTGTGTTTACTTGCCATGGGTTTCCCCGTTTGATGTTGAGGGGTTTGGGATCTCTTCGGGTGACCCATCATGTGGACCGATTAGCTGGTGTTTTTTTGGGAGAGCTAGCAACACACGTCCATGCAGCTCAGCCGTTGGCTCCGCCCCTGTTTAATATTTTTTATATATTTTTTTTTTCTTCAAGCAGCCCCCCTGCAGCAGGTCCGACCTCCCCGGCTCTCCAGGGCCATGTGATCACCATGATCACATCGCCGCAATAGTAGTCTATGGAGCTGCCTGCAGGGGGACTGTCTGAGCCAGGGGTCCTCAAACTCCGGCCCCCCAGATGTTGCTGAACTACAACTCCCATGATTCTCTGGCTATGTAATTCAAAGAATCATGGGAGTTGTAGTTCAGCAACATCTGGGGGGCCGGAATTTGAGGACCCCATGTCTGCGCTTTCAGGCATTCCCCCAGGCTGCTAAAAAGTAAAAAAAATATATAATGCATATATAATTTCATTATAGGTGTACTTTGAGATATAGACCCCTATCTCAAAATACACTTAACATAAAATTTGATATATATATATATATATATATATATTATAATATATTATTGCTTTCATTATTTTATATTATACGTATAAAGGGAGTGTGTCTATGTATATAGGCGCGCGCACACACACACTCACTGTACATATATATTTAACTATTAACTACATAATTATTTGATTTCATTAATTATAATTTAAAGGACTTGCTAGACAGTCCAGAGAATTTAATTGGCTATCCTTATATTTAACACCTTAAATCCTGTACATGAGGGGTATTGTAATACTCGGGAGACTTCGCTGAACACAAATGAGTGTTTTAAAAAGTAAAACTTCTCACAACGATGGTATCACCTGTAAAAGTGCAGTTTTTGTCTAAACAAATGAAAAAAACAAATAATGCTAACTTTGGCCAGCGTTTGTCACTAAGTGGCTACTACAAAACACTGGAAATACCCCATTTTGAATACCCTGTGTTGTCTACATTTGAAAATGGTATGCCATGGTGGAGTTAATTCACATTGCTGGGCTACCTTATGGTCTCAGAAGGCAACATAGACCCAGCAAACCAATCTGGCAAACTGAATTGGGCAACCCCTATATTGAGATCCTATAAACACAAATATTAGTTTAAAACCGTAAAACCTAGGGAGATGTGGCCTAGCCGAGGAATGAGCTGGACGCGTTGGAGTAAAGCTCTACTTCTACATAGCTGCCTAAAGCTTATATCAGCCATTCAAATAGTGAGACACTCACTGTAAAATGGAGAAGACGAACCCTAAAAAGCACTTTAAGAAGGGAGCTAAACCTGGGACCACAGTAATGGAGATGTTCGCTGCCCAAAAAGCCGGCCCGTCTGAGGCCCAAGATGGCACTGGTGTGGGCCTCACTACGTCTCTGACCTCGCCACGTGCAGCAGCCAGAGTTGACTCTACCCAGGGAGACACCACGCAGATATTGGCAAAATTGGCTGAAGGCCTGGAAGAGTGCCTGGAGGGTACCACAAGGGCACACAATGAGGCTATAGCCCAACTCAACAGGCTTACGGCCCGAATGGCCTAGACTGACCTGGCAATAGAAGACATTGCTAACCGGTCAAGACGTAACAACCTCAGAGTCAGAGGCTTACCGGATAGAGAGGGAGAGGGATCCCTCCAGGATCTTCTACTTACCATTTTTAAACCGCTCCTGCCTGACGTTACGGACGGCATGTGGCATAGGGAAAGAGCCCACAGGGCCCTGCAGTCCCGGAGACCTGAAGCTCTTACTCCCTGCGGTATGTCATCAAAAGAGTAGGGAGGGGGGGGCAGGGCTGACGGCCGAAGAGAGCGGCCGCATGGCGTGAGAGCTCCCGGCAGCACAGGACCTCTAAGCCTGATAAAGCAAAGCGAACCGCCCGAAAAATAAAACAAAAGAAGGTACAGTACCTATAACATTGCTGTGATGGCCCCTGCCAAGCAAAGGAAGATCACGGATCCAATCCGCCAGCAAAAAAAGACAGTACGCCGTCCACCCAAGATGGCGACGACGGACCCACGCTATCCCAAGCCTCAGACTCCATACATGAGCAAGAGCACGAGGCAAGCATCTACACAGACGCTCCGGTCACAGAGAGAAAGCTTTTCTCTATGCTGCAGGACTTTAGGTTAACATTGCAAAAGGACCTGCGACAAGCTACAAATGACATTAAAAAAAGAAATCAAATAGCTTGGAGGCCAGACATTACGAGCTATGCTCAGCACATGACACGCTGGCGGCAGCGGTACAGAACCTAACTGAAGAACACATGTCCCTTAAAAAGAAAATGGCCGACATGGAAGATCGCTCAAGGCGAAACAACGTCAGGTTCCGAGGAATTCCGGAATCGGTCACGAATGACGGCCTCGCAGAGAGCATACTGTCGATATGCAAATCCCTGGTCCCGACAGTACCAGGCGCACGGCCCCAAAGGCTCGCACCAGATACACCGCGTGACATAGTAGTGCGATTCCACTACTTCAAAACCAAGGACCCAGTACTGGCGGCGGCAAGGAAAGCGACAACCTTGCCTACACCATATGAAAACGTCCAACTATACGCAGACCTCTTGGCTATGACCATGAGTAGGAGACGAGAGTTTGTAACGGTCACAAAGACACTACAGAACAACAACATTCAATATCGCTGGGGCTACCCGACCAAGATCATTGTCTGGAGGAACGGAAGAACACTTACAGCAAACGAACCGGAGGTGGGCATGCGGCTCCTAAAGGAATGAGGCCTTTTTCCAGCAAGATCCCCAGAAAAAGCGCCGGCAGAATCGCCAAAACGCCCGCAGAGAGAATGGCAGATGGCGGGGTCACCCACCCTATCTTAACAACCCAATGGGCCCTCTCAACAAGGACTGTAGTATGTCTTAAAGTGACTGTCCTGCTTGCCACTTACAAACTGAACTGACAAACTGTTGTGAGTATAATGCATATGCACACATGTACAGAACTATAACACCACAATCCTAGCAGCACACACTCAAGACAGACAGGTTGAGAGGGAAAAAAAACAAGATTTTCAGAGATGGGCAGAGCGGGAGCCGGGGAACATAAGAGTAAAAGAAGGCCCTAGACATTCAAATACTGGATAGGGTGGGCCAAAGCGGCAGTACGCAAACAAAAAGAGAGCTTTATAGATCAAGGTTACACTCCTATCTACCCAAAGGGCCAGGTATGATAGCAACCGTTCCACAGGGGCAGAGCACTCATGAGGAAAGGGCAGCAAATCTAGATCCGATAGAGGTCGTGGATGCCGTGCTCTCTCCGTCAGACAAACCCCTAGGAGAGCAGAGACGGGACAGACTGCCCGGCTCGCACTCAATTCAGGTAGAGCGCTGAAAAAACAAATGGCGCTATGTATATACTTCATTTTGTTACATCCCCCTGTTTTGTCACCCCCAGTTCCTTCTCACATTACCTACCCCTGGGCAACACCAACAACATTTGCTATACATCATCACTCGAACTCGCACGCACCACAAATGCATCCTAAAAAGGGAATAAAATGGCTAATGTAATGAGAATCTTAACCCTGAATGTGAAAGGCCTCAACAGCCCCCATAACCGCAGAATGGCGGCGCAGGAAATGGTCAAGGGTAAAGCAGCAATAGTACTCGCCCGTTCATATGACATACACCAGAATAGATTTATGCCTTTTTGACACTAGAACACTACCGTTTGCGTAAAGTGTACACATTGGACCAATCACGTGGTCTGATCACGCTCCACAACTCGTAACAATAAAGATCCCGTACCCAGCTAGGGGACGAGGCACATGGCGTCTCAATGAGCGCCTCCTAGACATTCCAGGTAACCTTATCCAAGTACAAGCCCAGGCAAAAGCTTACTTTAAGAACCACGCAAATTGCCAGACGTCGATAACAACCCAATGGGTAGCCCACAAGACAGTCTTAAGGGGCGGCATTATTCAGCTAGGGGCGAGGTCAAAAAAGCAATGCAACACTGAAAAAACACAACTAGAACGAGACCTGATCACACACGAAGAGGCACACAAACAAAAACCCACAAGCAGCAGGCACGAAAAATTAGCAGAAATCAGAGCAAAACTTAAATCACTTCAGCTAATAGAAACTGAAAAGAGGATGCGGTTCCTCAAACAATCATACTACACCATGGGCAACAAGGCGGGGAAGCTCCTAGCTAGAGAGGTTCACCAAACTAAATTACAAACAAAAATACCCTATATCACCTCGGAACGAGGGGCAAAATTATATAACCCCAGGACATAGTCAACGAATTAGCAAGGTATTATGAGTCCCTCTACCAATTAGATAGAGACCATAGTACACATCAACCAAATAAATCGGAGATAGAGAGATTCATTGAACAAGTTGACCTACCGTGTCTGTCCCACGCACAGTGCTCCTCTATGGAAGAACCCTTCTCAGAGGAGAAAATAGCGGAAGCCATCAAGACACTACCCAAACACAAAGCCCCTGGCCCGGATGGCTTATCAAATTATTATTACATAAAACTATCCCCACACCTGGTCACCCCCCTCACTAGACTCTTCAACAACATAAGAGACTCAGGGATAATGCCCAAGGAAATGCTGGAAGCTTTCATTGTAACACTGCCCAAACCAAACAAACCTCCCACCCAATGCGCCAACCTACGCCCGATTTCCCTACTGAACGCAGACACAAAACTGTATGCCAAACTGATAGCAACGAGACTCAAAAAAATACTCCCGGAACTAATTTCCGCAGAACAAGCGGGTTTCGTACCAGGGAGACAGGTGGGGGACAACACACAACACTTTATGAACCTAATAGACTGGGCAAATCTAACGTCTCAGACTGGCCTGATTTTGGTGCTGGACGCTGAAAAGGCTTTTGATCGCCTTCACTGGGACTACATGTCACAGACACTAACAAGAATGGGTTTCATCCCAAAAATCCTGGCAAGCATCCTTGCCCTATACCGACACCCAACGGCCAGAGTGTTCAGCACAGGCTTCATATCTAACCAAATAGAGATAAGAAATGGTACAAGGCAGGGCTGCCCCCTTTCGCCCCTCATTTTCATACTGAGCCTAGAACCCTTGATTCGCCTCATTAAACATGACTCTGCGATACAGGGACTCCATACACAGAAGTTGGCACTATTCGCGGACGATGTTTTAGTGTTTATAACGCACCCAGAATCCTCCCTACCACAACTTCTGCACTGACTCTACACATATAGGCAGGTATCGTACTACAGAAACAACACAATGAAGATACAAGCACTGCCTATTAATTTGCCGAGCGCTACCGTCATATCATTAAAAACACAACACTCCTTTGACTGGCGCAAAACCTCTTTACAATATCTAGGGATAAAGCTCACGAAAAATACCCAAACCATCACACGGGAAAACCATTACCCGGTCATACAAAAACTTAATGCCACACTCGAAGTGGGAGGGGCTTGAGGTGTCCTGGTTAGGCCGCATCAATCTTGTGAAAATGATGGCACTGCCGCATATATTGTACCTGTTCCGAACCCTGCTCATCGCTCTACCAAACAAACTACTAAATCTCTTTCAAAGCACAATAAACGCACATGTGTGGAAGCGGAAACCCCTGAGAGTGGCAAAGGGTACTCTAGGACTCCCATGTACAAGTGGGGGATTGAACATGCCAGATATCTAGACTTACTACAAGGCATCTGCATTGGCACAGGGACTTCGACTCCTGCGCCCCACAAACACCCTCCAAAGTCCCATCTGGTTAGCAATGGAGAGTGCCTGTCTAAATACCCACGATATGTCAAGTTATCTATGGGCAGGGGGGCATGCACAAGCTGCGGCAGGAAAACAGCTGCAGAGCTCAAAGTTCTTATTGAGGGCCTGGAATAACTGGAGCCCACAAATCGTAGACCCCAAAACGCTCTTCCAATCAGCACCCCTGACAACATTAGAAATACTCTCCCCGGACCTGAAGATGAATCGATGGAGGGAGGGGGCTGCATGCAGGGTCCGGGACATCTTAGAAGGGGACAAGATTAAGCTATTCCCCGACCTGCAAAAGGATCTACAGTTGCCAGTAAAAAACATATTACACTTGCACATCCATAATTTCACTAGCCACCCCTTCACACCCCACTTAACAATGACACAGGTACTCTCCACCAGGCACATAAAACCACTGTCAGCATGCTACAAAGCACTGATCACCGCGACAGCCCCTGATAAGCTGTCATACATGACTCAGTGGGAAGGGGAACTGGGACTCCAGATCCCCACGACAGAATGGCTGACAGCACTGACAATCACAAAATGGGCATCGCAAAGTCTTGCGATCTGGAAAGCCTACTGCAAGGTATTAATGCAGTGGTATCTGGTACCACAAAGACTAGCACATATGTACCCGGGCACGTCCGGGAAATGCTGGAGGTGCAACACAAGCGAGGGAACTATATTTCATATCTTCTGGGCTTACCCCCTACTAATAGATTACTGGAAAAAGGTTCACTCCCTCATACTAGGTAGGACAGGGTTCACTCTGCCCATGAAGCCAGAACACTACATCCTTCACATTGCACCCGGTATTGCCTCCCATCCACACAGAAAAGTGATCCTTAACATACTCACGGTAGCGAAAATAATGTTGGCCGGCAGTTGGAAGAGCAATTAAACCCCAGCCGCAGACACTATAAATAATAGAATGGACATGATTAGTGTAAAATGTAGATGATTGGTCAAATATAATTGTGTACTATACTCTTTCCATTCAATTCAATTCCTCTTGGATCTCTGAACTCTTATATCCAAGGCATTCTTAATGTATACCATTACTTAATATTAATCAATATAAATTATCCTTCCTTAGTTTTCTTCCTTATGTTACCATAGTTTGTTTTACTTTACCTCGATATAAACAAATTATTAATCTATGAAATACTATTGCACTCAATCTTTGCAGTATTAAGTAACCATGATCATTATTTTATCAACTTCATATTTTATCTTCCTCTGATACTTCTCATTCTATGTATAGGTAATAATATAATAGTTCTCTTCATAATACTATCCTTTCATAATTTTACTTTGTGTTACACATTTATAAATACTCTTTTGGTATTAATACTCATAACTGTTATATAACTTTTCATTATCTGTTTTCTTCTTCATTAATATTTAGGAATTGATATGTATGTTAGTGTCAATCTTTTATTTCTTTGTAAGTCTGTTAATCTTCTGTATCAAATGAACTCTGTAGAATCTTCCATCAGTTTGCAGATCAGATGAAAAGTCTCTTTCCAACAGTCAATGTCCAGTTCTCTGAAGGAATGCTTTCCTGATTTATTGCCATGAGGATCTGTCACGCTTTACCTACATTAAAACAAAAAAACGTGCAGCATCAATACTGCGGCTTACAATGTTTATATCTCATTATTATTATACAGTTTAACATTGAATTATATTGACTACACAAAACATACTCATTTCTTCTCATGAGATCTACCATCTAGTGGTCATTACATTTATGCCTTTATATTAAAATCTTTCTGAACATTTAAATTTGCCAAACTTTTTATTAATCATACCCCCCTTTTAAACTGTTTAATAATGTGGAGGTATAACCTAATCACATGTCAGATGTTACAACAAAATATTGTTTTCCACTATACTTTAGCTATAGTAGCCATTTTGTCTTAACACAAACTACAAAAACATATATTGTTTCCTACATCAAATGTATTTGTAAATCTAGGTTTTATCCTATCAAAACTTTTGTCTTCTAAATAGTTAAAACATATGTATGTCCAGGCTTTGCAAAATATAGTAATCCATTATCAGTCATGACATTAAAATCTCATTCTCATGAATTAAATCAAAGATTTTAAATCAACCTCAGAAGCAACAACATTGTTTTTTCCTTCTGTAAAATGATTGGAGTTACTGTATAATCGCATACACCAAATACAACATACATTGCATGTCTCCTAACTGCTACATTAGTGTATTTCATTCTGCCATATTTGCAAACTTGATGTAAATTTTTATTTTAATTAATTAACCTAATACATCTGTTGGCACACATATCCATGCTCATTCCCTAAACTGATCATATCTCTTGAAGTTATCTGATTCTTATAACTTTCTGTGTTACACTGCATTGCTTGTCTGTCTCCTAATTTCGATTTAGCTAAAATTGCTTTTATTTGTCTGATTATCAGTTTACAAGGAAAGGCTTTTATTGATTTATCTCCACATGTATTTTCTCTGTCAAAAATTTCAATCAACAAATTTAATTTCTCATTTGCTTTTGATTTGATATCTCGGATAAAATATCTGCAAGATCTTAAATAATGTTTATTGCACCAAAAACAAATAACTTTGGGAGTTATATTCTGTCTTTGATTAACTCTACAGTTTTTAGTTGAATAAATTGGGAGGGGCTCAGCTGTCTGTATCACTCTTTTACACTCTGTTCTAGAAGAAGAAGGAGGAGGGGGGGGGGACAAGGGGTGTAAAATCTGCACTTATTTCTCTGCCTAATTCCACAAGTCATTTTAACCCCTTCATTATTGGTTTCTCTCCTTAAATTATCCACAAATAAAGCAACGTCATTCTGTGAGGATACATTTTCAGTATCTGTTGGTTCTGGGATTAGATTCTGTGCCTGTATTTTTCTTGTATTAACACACACTAGTTTAACTTCATTTCTAAGCTGGCAAATAAGATCATTTCTTAATTCAACTCTATCCTCTAATTCACAGACTGTTTCTGACAATGTTCTCTCTGTTACATTGTTACACTGTTCATTTAAATCTGATTTGTCTTCTGTTAACCCATACAAATCTATTTCTTTATCTGCTGATTCTAAATTTTTTTGACCTGCATCTCGTTTACAAATCAATGCATTGTAAGTACAGACTAGTTTCATAACATTTCTGATCTTTTGTTTTTTCTTATTAACAAAAGTTTCTTGTCAATTTCACTATTGGCAATTTCACATTGTGTGTATAAAGATTGCCACAATACAGCATCTGAATAGCTGCTATTAAATGCAAACTGCAATTTACTTTTCTCTGCAACATCATTTATGAATTCCATGTTACTCACCAGATCAGTTATTTCTGTCTATTCCGTTGCTTCATCCACACAGCTGCGCAGTTCTTTGCTTGGATGATTGCCAATCTCTGCCACGTGCTTGCTTCTAGAATTCACGTTGTATCTTGTGCTTTTTGTCTCAGTTGTAGAAAATAGTCTTGTAAAGTCTTTGTGATTTGAAAACTTTCTTTTTCTTACAAACCACAGTTCTATGATAGTCAGTCTAGATTCTTTTTTTCCTCTTCAAATTTGTTTTCCCAGTTCCAAAATAGCTTTGTAACTCGATTCTTCTCTCTCCCCCCTTGAAGTGGGAACAAAACTTGAATAGAAGACTGGCTGGCTGGCCAATGTAAAATGTAGATGATTGATATAATGTATATACGTCTTTTGTATATATATAGTCTTGGGCCAAATGCTCGCCACAATAAAAATGTCTATATTATTGAAAAGTAGTAATACGCAATCTGACTTACGTTTTCTTCAGGTTTATTCTTTATTACGGATACATAATAAAACATAATAAAGGATGTTACAGGATAGTGGACATTCAACAGCAGATGGTAATTGCTGGACTTCTGATGGGAGAGTTACATTGTTGTACAGAGCCAAGACTCAAGCCAAGAGAGAGTGACCTTGTGTCTCTCTGTTACTATATAGAAGTGCTCATACTAACGTCAGCGTTTAACTCTAGCCATATAAGGACAAAACCCCCACATCCACATTCCAGAGCTCTCGGACAAAGAAAGCCTTGTGACTTATTGATACCATCTGTTACTTATGTCAATCCACACATCCATATATATAATCAATAGAAACATAGAATATGTAATATTCTACAATTAGTCAATATGAAAAAATGGCAAGTAGGGTAAACGGCTGTAGTCAGAGATATGACAGAGAATGGAGCAGCTGAGAGTTAAAAGGCCGAATAGGGGCAACAGGGTCACACATAGGGTCAATTCCAACAAATCATAATAAAAATGCAATATGTGTTGTCTAGGGCACCCCCTTACCCTCCCTTTTCCTTCTGTAACCCCCCCACCCCCAATCCCCTAGTTAAAGGTTACACAACAAAAGCAATGCAGATATTTTAACAGATGTGCAGCACTAGTAGCAGTCCCTACTCACACCGAAATAACACGGAACACGAGCGAGGAACGAGTCACACCACACGATATAAGTGCTCCTCAGTGTGAGAAGACCAAGAGCATACACTCATGGAAGCTGACATAAAGACTCCAGGCTTGCATAAGGAATATGTTGGGCAAATCTTTGGAACAGGGCACCCACAGCTGCGTCTGTGATTGGTATGGCATGTCAAAAATGCACTGCGTTGCAAAATGTCTGATCATTTGTTTTGCATCAATAAAAAAAAAGATAAATGAGAAAAAAAAAGAGTAGGGAGGGTCCCATCAAGCACCATGGAGCTGAGCTCACCCTTAACCAGGACCTGGCGCCCAGCACTTTACAGCGCCGATGAGACTGGAAGCCTATCACTGAGGCTGGGATCCTCTATGCATGGGTACAGGTCTTGCCGGTCTGGGGCGACCCGCAGTGTTTCAAGGACTCACTAATACCAGGTAGTTACAGGCCCATATCGCTGATAAATCACGACATGAAGATTTTAGCTAAGATCCAGGCCGACAGACTGGCACCATACTTAACGTCCCTTATAGATGCTGGCCAAGTTGGATTTGTGCCAGGGAGACAACTGTTTGAAAACACTTGTAGGAACATTGACCTCATATTGAAGTAGGTAGTCACCAATACACCTACACTAGACGCAGAAAAGGCCTTTGACAGGGTCAATTGGCCATATCTCTTTGCCCTACTGGCACACTTAGACTTCCCGAACAAATACATCACAGTACAGCAACGTCAGGGCACAGGTACAGATCTCGGGTGCCCCTCTCTCCCCTTTCCAACTGTATAATGGCACTAGTCAGGGCTGTAGCAGAGCACTAGTTTCACATAGGCTTTCTCCGCTGGTAATCCAATAGCAATCCAAGCACAAGGGGTTAACACAGGAAAAACCGCATCAGTAGTAAATAAAATAATCCAGGAATATCCCATCACCTTTCCCAATAACTGGACAACACACAGTATCAGGAGCAGAACTGTTGTTTAATCCCAAATACCCTGTTTTTATGCATCTCTCCCATGCAAGGGAGACACCCACAGAAAATTATACAGTAGCCAATCATACACAAGTTACAACCCACACATCTCCTCCCCTCAGCCTGACAGATAATCCAATTATTCAGCACACACTTTTCCCTGTTTTCCAGATGTACCCCATAGGATACACCCCTAAATCATACATCCCCTGGTAGCCCTGACCTTGGTGAGCAACATACTCAAAAATCACCCAGATCAGACCAGGGGTTCGGGAGTTACATGGATGTGTTTGTTTGACCGACCCCACACGAGGCAGTAGCCGAAAACCGTTCCATGCATCTTGGCCTTGCGGTCGGCCTCTGTTCGTGTGAATCCTCTTGTTCGTGGTATTAATTTTACAGAACGCCAGGTGCTTCGTGTGTTTCCTTGCGAAGGGATGGAAGTCTGGAGGTCTCTGCGGTGTTCGCCTAGTCGAGTGTCGGATTTAGGTTCCAGACACTCGACGACCAAACTCCGCTGGGCGTTCTTATGGAAAGATGGCCGCCGCCACGTGTTCGTATGCCGAACTGCGACCACCCAGGGAATATACAGTGCATTTGCATTCCTTTCAATTATACTGTAATAACAAATGCTGGAGAGGTAAATTGGAGCCACACTTCTCTCCGGGGTGGCCTGGTTGTTCGGTAGTTTGTTCGTATTCTGAACTGAGGTATTTAATGGGAATCCATTGCGTTTCTACCAAACAACCAGACGAATGCTTCATACAATACATTGTATTCAAAGGAATAAACGAAAGAGAAATACTGTTGCAACTATAATAGTTAGGGACACCAAAATGCAATCCGCTACAAGGGCTGCCCACTATCTCCCCTCTTGTTTGTTCTTGCGTTTGTTCTTGGAGGCGTTTCGGCACCACCCCTTAATACAAGGGGTAAAAGTGGGAGGGAGGGATTTTCTGGTGGCAGCATATGCGGATGATGTGCTCATGACGCTCACGAGGCAGGTGGACTCTATGCTTATGGGGAGATCTCAGGATATAAGGCCAAAATCTCTAAATCATGTGCACTTCCCATAGGAATGACTGCGGCAGACACAGCAATGATACACCATGCATATGACATACATATAGACATAAATTCCCTTAAATACCTAGAGATCAACTTAACAGCTGACTCACTACAACTACATGCCTTTATTGAAAACACTGATCAAAGACATGGAGCAATAGACCCATTTTGTGGGTAGGGAGGATCCATTCAGTGAAGATAAATGTGCTTTCAAGAATCCTATTTATGTTCCATGCACTGCCAATACACCTAACTAAGGCCCAACTTACTCCCCTACAGCAGGCGATCAGGAATTTTATATGGCAAAACAAGACACAGGATATCACGACATGTTCTGTACTGCCCAAAAAAGAGAGGCGGTGTGGGACTCCCTATTAGAAAGAAACACAGCACTGGTTAGGAATGGAACAAATCCATCCGCCAGGTTGTGATGGTTGAGAGATACAATGGGGCCTAACCCCTAGAAGTGCAAAGAGAGAATAGGACTAATGGGTTGCAGATTATAAACAATCTGCCTCCCAAAAAGACCTTGTATCCTTATATGAAAAAAGCTACTCTGCAATTATAAATATAAAAGTGGAGCGCAGAGAGCAAAAAACGAAAAACTCTTTATTAATCCCTCTTGGGGAGAAACACACAGATACTAAACAAACAAGTAATAAAATTAGGATCTAATTAGATAGAATCGACTAGTCCAAAAATAATAGTAATAGTAATATGGTCAGAAGAAATGCTATAAGTATGTGTGTGGCAAAATTGCCATAAATAGTAGCAAATTGACCAAAAAGGGGGGAGATACACTAAATGTAGCAAACTGAAGATCTCTAAATGCAAAAGTAAATAAACTCTATAATTAGAACAAAGAGTATATCAGGTGCACAAAAAAAAAATATATATATATATGTGCAAAAGATCTACCAAAATATGTTTGCAACATTGCAGGAAAAAAGCCTGCAGTCTAAATAGCCAGCAATATAAATGTTAAACAAACTGCCTAAACAGCTGTAGGAGATTTGGGGGAAGGAGTCCCTAATATCTTGCTAGTAATAGACTAGTATCTAATCCCACCATGTGTGTGGCAGAATTGCCATAAATAGTAGCAAATAACTATAACCAAAAGGGGGGGGAGATACATTAAATGTAGCAAACTGAAGATCTCTAAATACAAAAGTAAATAAACTCTATAATTAGAACAAAGAGTATATCAAGTGCACAAAAAATATGTGCACAAAGATCTACCAAAATACATTTGCAACATTGCAGGAAAAAAGGCTGCAGTCTAAGTAGCCAGCAATATAAATGTTAAGCAAACTGCCTAAACAGCTGTAGGAGATTTGGGGGAAGGAGTCCCTAATATCATGCTGGTAATAGACTAGTATCTGATCCCACCATAAATAAATAAATGATAGGACAGTCTGAAAACAAAATAGAATCCTAAATTAAAATCATCATCCGCTTTAGTGCAGTGCTCGTGTATTTTTATTACTTAGCAGCACAGCTGCCGCAGATTGCACTGTGGCACTCGCCCCTGGATAAACGGAAATGGG